CCTCTTGGTTGATAGGTTGTTGGAACATAAGATTATCAATACAAGAGAGAAGAGAGGAATAATTGATGTCTATACTGGACAAACTGCTGGTGAAAGAATGGATAGGTTGCTTAACATTGTTTCGAGCTCCATTAGAGTGGATGGAAAAATATTTGGTATATTCTTAGATATACTCAGAGAGGAAGGCACTATAAGAACAATAAGACTAGCTGATACTCTAATAGATAAATATAAATATGATTTATTTGATATTGCTCCTAACCAAGCACAGTTTGATAATGGTAAGATTTACTATACTGCATGTACAAAATTATTTGTTGGCAGGGAATTAATGTTGACTCCTGGTGGTTTTAAATACAAATAGTAGCTAGAGTAAATTTGGCTTGTATATTGTGTGAACTTAATTTTAGCAAGTTTTAAAATTTCAATATTATAGTACACTTGGTAGTCTCGCATAGCCAGCCCCTCCCTCAGGCTTGTATTTAGCTGTTATGTAATATTGATTTAATAAAAATGCAGTAAATAGGTAGCTAAAGCATGACACTTTTCTAAACAAAGCTTAGTATACATGTAGTTTAATGAACTTTGCTTAATAAGTACAGCCCAATAATACAAATAAGAAATTAACCAATCTCCCTTTCCTTTGTTTAGATACTGTATCTAAATGGTTACAAGACAGCAGGATCAATCTAACTGTCAAACGTGTTCAAATGCTTGGTCCTCCTGGCTCTGGTAAAACATGTTCTCGACGTCTCTTACTAAATGAAGATCCACCTGAAGAAGCTGTCACTGACAGTACACCAATAGCTTGCCGTGCTGTCAAAGCTACAAGAATCTCTGTTGAAGCTGGCCACATGAAAGAAGTTGATGCTAAAGCTCTTCTTTCAAGGTTGGCAGGTGATCTAAAGGAAGAAGTATCAAAACAAAAGGAATCTTCAAAGAAAACACCAACACAAGACTGCGGCAAAAAATCAAAGGGGCAGTCTTCAGAAACCATTAGTACTGAGACTAAAACAACAGAGTCAGCAGATCCAGCAGAATCAAATAATTTAGCAGAGCCAGCAGAGGATCTTGATGCAAATAAAATACGTAGAAATATTGTCAAGGCCATTTCAGAAGCAAAAGTTCAGTTAGATCGTCACCTGGTGTACATTGTTGATTCTGGTGGCCAGACAGCATTTCAAGAGTTATTGCCTTTGTTTACTAGAGCGGCTTCTCTTAATATCATCACAATTGACCTTTCTAAAGGTCTTTATGAGAAGCTTGATCTGCAATATCGAATTGATGGAGCACCATATCCCTGTGATCCAAAGTTTTCATATACAAATATAGAATTTATAAAAGATGTGCTGTCTTCTGGAGCTATTGTACAGCCACTGAACACACAGCAATCAAAAGAAGATACTAAAGCTCTTCAGTACCCAGAATATTTTGTTCTGGGTACTCACAAGGATAAAGCAGAGCCAACACAAATTGAAGAATATAACAAGGAGCTATTGTCATTAAAGCCCGGCTCTAAAGAAAAAGGGTATCACCTCATTCCTGTACAATGTAATTCTAATCAAATTATATACCCAGCTAATACAATGCTCAAATCTGGCCCGGAAAGACAAGCTGAAGCTAAAACTCTTTGCGAAGCAATATATAATAATATTTCTGGTGATACAATCCCAATGCCAGTTCGATGATTTGCTTTTGAGCTGACTTTGCTGGAGAAGGCAAAAGGTCACAGTTTCCTTCAGTTAGATGATGTCTTATTGGCTGGTAATAGCCTTCAAATGGATGAAGCTGATACAATGAAGGCTCTGGAGTATCTTCACAATGTAACCATTATTCTTTATTATCCTCAAGTTTTACCTGACATAGTGTTCCTTGATCCTCATCCTATTCTTGACATCCTCTCACATCTTCTTGCTCTTACTTACAAAATAGAATGGAATTTTTTGCGAAGCCTTACAAAGGAGACACCCTCAGAGTCTGAACTGGTTACTCTTAGTAAGGAAGGTCTGTTTACCAAATCACTGTTGGATAAGTTAAAAGATGACCAAGGATTTCCTAAGTCTGATTTTATCAAGCTATTGCTTCACCTACACATCATCGTTGAGACACAAAATGGTTATTTTATTCCTTCTGCATTGCCTCATTTTGGATCTGCTGGTCCTCCTCCAGAATCAGATATCATCAACCCATTACTAATAGTCTGGCAAAATTCTGCCAATAAAGAAATTTTACCTGTTCCCCGTGGAATTTTCCCTTTGACAGTTGTCAATTTAATGATAACGGTCAATAAACTGCAATTTTCTTTTCCTCCTACAACCATAGATGCTGAAACAAACAACACTGCAACAAATCAAGAATCTCTGAAATATTTCAGATATCGAAATGCTATGTCGTTTTGCATTGATGATGTCATCAATGATATACAAGTTGGCACCATTCATTTCATTAAAAAACACAGGCACATTGAGATTCATTTCACAGGACACAAAGATGATGCTC